TAATCCCAGCACTCGGGAGGCAAAACCAGGCAGATCTCTCTGAGTTCAGGGCCAGTCTGGTCTACAGAGCAAGATCCAGGACAGACACCAAAACTACACAGAGAAACCCTGTCTCAAAAAAACAGAAAAAAATTTAATCAAGAGGATATAAACAAACAGATCTATAACAAGAAATCAGGCAGAAACAGTAGTTTAAAAAAAAAAAAAGTATCCCAACAAAGAAAAGCCTAGAATTAGACAGATTCACTGTAGAATTCTACCAAACCTTTAAAGAAAAGCTAAAATCAGTATTCCTCAGCATATTCCATAAACTAGAAGGGGAGGACACCAGCAAACACCTTCTACAAAGCTAGCATTACTCTCTGATGGTGAAATTAGACGAGCGCATGGAAGAAGGAAGGAAATCAGCTTATGAAGTTCAGTACATCCACTCATCCATTGACAGACGGACTTTTGGGCTGCTTGTGTTTCCCAGTCCTGGTGAATTATCGGGGTCTCCCCATGTTGCCTCCGCCCCCACAAACACTATTAAATTCTCTTGCTTCTCCCTGCTATTTTCTCTACTTCAAAAAAGTCGCCATGGCCATGGCCAGCCTGCATCTTTGTATCTCTGCTCTGGACTCTTCCAGACACTTCTGCTTGCTCTCTCATGTCTATAATAAAAACCTCCCCACTAGCCACAGAGCTAGTGTCTCAGGGGTTCTTTACTGTGACCCCGCTTACATGAATAAATGCAGTGACAAACAGGTGTGTGTAAGTGACAAACAGGTCTGTGCTAGGCTGAAATCTGAGCTCTTTGGGACTATGTCCAAGAGCAGCACACAGCTGTGTCATACGGCAGTTCTATTTTCAGGTTTGATTGTTCTCTTGCTTTAAGAAACCACCATAGTGATTTCTTCAGTAGCAAGTTTATTTTCTCAACGGCAGCGAAAAGGGTTCCTTTTCCTCCATATTCTTGTCAGCATTTGTTGTTACCTGTTTCCTTGATAGATAGCCAATCTGATGGGGGGCAGTGTCCCTCTGCTAATGACAGCCTTGGCTATTTGGAGTCTTTTGTGCTTCTTTATGATTTTTTGTTTTGTTTTGTTTTTGTTTTTGTTTTGCATGGACAATGGCAAACCTACAAACATTATTCTAAATAGGGGGAACTGAGAGCATTTCCTCTAAAATCTGGAATGAGACAAGGGTGCCTGTTCCTTCTACCATTATTCAATATAGCGCTTGAAGTCGCAGCTAGAACAATACTACAAGAGACATAAATAAAATTTGTATAACTAGGAGAGGAAGAAGTCAAATTATCTCCATTTGCAGACAACATAATCCTAGAAAAACCCCAACGACTCCACCAGGAAACTCCTAGCCCTCATAAAAACGTTCAGCGGAGTGGCAGGATATGCAATAAACATACAGAAACCAGTAGCTTGCTTACATACCAATAACAACCTTGCCAAGGAAGAAACCAGGAAGGGAGGGGGTCCTATTCACAATGACTTCAAACAAACAAACAGCAAACTCTAACCAAAGAAGTGAAAGACCACTGCAGTGCAAACTTTGAAGACACTGAAGAAAGAAATCCATGAAAGCAGTAGAAGATGGAAAGATCTCCCAAGATGGATAGAATTAATACTAGGCAAATTTCAACATAATCCACATCACACACACACACAAAAATAATCTCAATCTTCACATCATCTTCACAAAACTAGGGGGAAAAAAAACCCTCTAAAATTCATGAAACTAAAACAGACATCCTGAGAGGGAAGGAAGATATCTTAGACTGGGGAAGGGAGAGACTAATGGAATGCATGTTCTAAGAAAGCAGAACACAGGGCCATTGGGGGAGGGAAGGAAACCATCCAGAGAGGGACAGGTTAGACAGGGATTTGAAAGCAACAGAAGAGAGGAATAAATGACAACAATAACAGGAATGCACAGAAAATGCCATAATGAACCTCATTCCTCTGTATGCAAATGTAAATGACTAAGAAGATTAAAAGACGAGAAGTCACACCACCAAGTACGCTAAGAGATGTCCTAGCTCCTGAGGTCTGCATGAGGCAGTCATGAAGGCCTCAGCGTTCTCCTCTTCCCTGGACTTGGCCGACACGGCGACCGCCATGCGAGCGACCCCGGCCGATCTGGAACATCTGGACAAGGAGCAGATTAGAAAGGCAGTGGAAGTTCTGTTTGCACACTCCAAGTCAAGAAAAAAGAATAATGAGTTACTTTTGAATGAGAATGAGAATTTGTTTCTAATGGAACAAATGTGTTACTATGGAAAATTCCAGAGAAAGAACTGAGGGTCTGAGTGGCTTTGCCTCATAGTATTCTATCAGATTTGTCAGAAGTCTGTTTGTTTACCAAAGATGACTGTAAATCACCTGAACAGACAGAATGTTTCCATAAAAAGCTTCTGAAAAAGCATGGAGTTAATAGCATCTCTCAGATTATCCCTTTTAAAACTTTAAAAACAGAATATAAAGCCTATGAAGCTAAGCTCCGCCTCCTAGGTAGCTTTGACGTCTTCATTACTGATGAAAGAATTAGACAGCATTTGCCCACACACATAGGAAGGCATTTCTATCAGAGGAAGAAAGTTCCAGTACCTGTAAATCTTCTGGCCAAGAATCTGTCCAAAGAGATTGACCGCTGTATCACCGGGACCGACTTAAACATCTCCAGACATGGTTTTTGCAGTACTGTACATGCTGGTCACACTGGAATGGAGACTCAGCACGTCATTGAAAACATCCTGGCTGTCTCAGAAATGTTTTCAGAAAAACTACCAGAGAAATGGCAGAGTGTGAAACTCTTGTTCCTGAAAACCAAGAAGTCAGTTTCCCTTCCCATCTTTTCCTCGTTTGTCACATGTCAGGGGGAAAAGATCCTGTCCTTCTGTAGCGTGAGGAGAAAAGAACTAAAGAAAAAAAATGAAGCATGAAAAAGAAAAGCTGAAGAAAAACAAAATGTCAAAGAAAAAATCCACGGAGGCTGCATCTCTTCTAACTCAAGATGACTTAGCACGTGAAGCCAGCAGCGCTCCCATGAAGGCCCCAAGATCCCAGAAGAAAAAGACCAGCAAAGGAAAAGCACAACCCGAAGGGATGGACGAACGTGACAAAACAATTCCACAACTGGTGCCAACAGGAGAAACGCCAGACAAAGACAATGTGAGGATGCAAGAAAATGTCACAGGGAAAAAATCTCCAAAAAAAGAGACCTGATCCAAATATACTTCAGGGCAAGAAAAGGAAGGCCCTACCATCTACGGAGACCCCAGAAGCTTTAGGGCCTGGGGCCTCTGGGAAGAAGACAAAAAGAGATGTGCGGGAAATCAGACAGCCAGAGGGCAAGTTCTTTACTGCCAGGAAATCTTCCAATACACCCAAAGACAAAAATCCCCAAGTGGCCCACTCAAACTAAAATCAGGTTGCTTGGCCTGAAGGAACCATCAGGGTTACCCTAAGAGCTTTTCAAGAATACTTAGACAAGGTGTGGTGACACCCACTGTGGGACGTAGAGCTAGGCAGGTCTGTGTGGGTCGAGACCAGCCAGAACTAGGTGGTGAGACCTCATCTCAACAGACAAACAAACTTGGCCAAGATTGGGTATGCACAGCTACATCCCTAATACTCAAATCAAGCCAAGGCCAGAGAGGCATGAGCATGAAGGAAGCCTGTGGAGTTCAGCAAGAATCTGTCTTGAAAGGCCAAACTTCAGTCCTGGGCTTGGTGGTATAACACTCTGCTAACATATGCACGGTCCTGTCTTCAGTACCCAGAACTGTCAAAAATGACCATACACCACATAACAAAAGGTCCTCTGGTCCTGACCCCACTGCAGTTTTTTTTTTCAACAGTGAGTCCTAGACTTAATATTTTTGTAAAGTTTCCAGAGATGATTCTGAATTAATGTTTCTATTTGTAAAAACTAGGGGTTTGAGGCAAAGAAAAAAAATCTATTTTTTATTGTTCAGTGTATTTGCTAATAAGAGTGCTTCTGTATGTTTGTGGTTTTCTAATTAAAGTATAATATCTGCTTGTGGGTAAAAAAAAAAAAAAAAAGAAGAGATGTCTTGGGTTGGTTTCCTGTGTTCAGGGTTCAAGCTACTCCAGTCATTGGGGTGTCTTTTTCTACTTCTCTCTAGCAGAACTGGGGGTGGGGACCCCTCGGTGGTCTTTTCCGGCTCACTGCACAGTTTAAGGCTGTAGAGCAAAGCCCCGGAAAGCACCTGCAGTCTGCACCACCTGTCCACCACTAAGAAAAACAAACAGGCACTTGGAAAACAAAAAGTAACCGCCAAATGTCCTTTGTCACCCGGACTCTTCACGCACCACCTCCCATCACCCTTCGGAGGAAGTCTCTGTTGGCTCACGTGGAAGCACCCAGTACAACCTACATAGCGTCTCAATCAAGTCTCAAAAGCTAGATGTGAACAACTGTACTAAAACCCTAGCCGCATGGAGTCTGGGGAACTCCTCCCCTGGTTGCCTGTCAGCAACATCCTTGGACAGCATTTGGTGTCTGACAGTGCAGTGTTTCATGAGGTCCTCACCTCCACCTTTGCCCCAGAGCTTTGCTCTGTAGAGCAATCAACAGGGGGCCACATTCTTATTTCTCAATCTCTCATGCCAGGACGACGGGAATTACAGAGCAGTCTAGAAAAAGAAACGGACGATTTCCCCAGTTTTGAAAGTTAAAAAAAAAAAAAAAAAGCATCTTTACACAAGTTACTCTACATTTTTCACACTTTGCAGGAACTCTGTCCCTGCCCACCAAACCCAAATGCCCTCCAGTCTTCCAGTCTAATATACCCTGGGGGTCTGCCACAAACCCAGTGTTTTAGGTTACCCAAATTAACCTAAAAAAAGGAGGATAAAAAGGGGAGGAACGGGCCCCCAACCGGTTTTGGCCTGAGTGGTTTTTTGTTTTGTTTTGTTTTGTTTTGTTTTTTAACACCAACATGGAGAGCCTGAGAGCCTGCCTTGGGGACTACTCACCCTCCTGGAGCCAGGGACCCATGTAGCTGAGGATGTAGGTGGGGTCCAGAGTCTTCCTGACATACTCTCTGAATGCTTGCAGATTCTGCCGCTGTTCAGCTGTCATTCTGTGGCTCCTCGCGAGCGATGAGCGCCCTGGCTCCCCAACAGCCGCCCAGGATGAGCGCCGTGGGGACTTTCCAAGAAGGAAACCCGAGGGAAAAGCGGCCAGGACCGGCGCCTGGAAATCGAAACTGTCTCGCGGCGCGGGGAGGGGCGGGGATCCAGTTTCGATTCTGATCCAGAGAGCCGCCGCTGCCAGTAGGGACCCAAACGCACCTTGGAAACCGCCTTGAAGTTCGAGCCTTGCTTTTGGAGTGGTGCGGTTTATAAAGTGCACACAGCTGAAGTGTACAGTTCAATGAATTTCGAAAAATGGAGACACCGGTTACCTCTTCCGCCAGATCAGCCGGGTCCTGCAGTAACCTCTGTTAAAACTTTTTTAGGAAACTATCTCCTCTTTTCCAAAGTGGCCATACCAGTTTGCATCCCCACTGATAGAATTAAAGAACTAAAGTTGACCAACATTCCCTGGGTACGGATTGTCTTGTCTTTTTTCTTTCTTCTTTCTTTTTCTTTCTTTCTAACTTTGAAGCAAACTCGTAATTATTGTAGTTTTATTTTCCCATATAATTAATGATTCTGAACACATCTGCATGTGTTTAGCTATCATACATAGTTTTTGTTTGTTTGTTTTGTGAAACTGCTATCTTTTACTTGTGTGTGTACTGGACACAATCTATTCCAAATATCATCTTCCTGTTTGCTGCTGACCACTACAATTTTCTTAAAGGTGTGTTTTGACACGCATTAAATTTATATTAATAAAATATAACTTATCAGAGACCCCCAATCCATTTATCAATTTTTGTTTCCTCTAATAAATATTTACCTCTCCCCAGGTATCTTACTTAGGATTTCCATTGCTATGATGAAACACCATGATCAAAAAACAGGGCTGGAGAGATGGCTCAGGGGTTAAGAGCACTGGCTGCTCCTCCAGAGGTCCTGAGTTCAATCCCCAGCAACCACAAGGTAGCTCACAGCCATCTGTAATGAGATCTGGTGCCCTCTTCTGGCATGTAGACAGAACACTGTATGTGTAATAAGAATAAATAAATCTTTAAAAAAAAAAAAAAAAAAAAAAAGCAAGTTGGGGAGAAAAGGGCACTTCCAAATCACTGTTCATCCTCCAAAGAAGTCAGGATGGGAACTCACACAGGGCAGAAACCTGGAGGCAGGAGCTGATGCCATGGAGGACTACTGCTTACTGGCTTGCTCAAACCTATGTTGTTTGTTTGTTTGTTTGTTTTGTTTTGCCTTTCTGTTTTTCAAGACAGGGTCTCTTCTGTTTAGCCCTGACTGTCCTGGAACTAGCTCTGTAAATGATGATCTGGAACTCAGAGATCTGGCACTGCCTTCTGAATGCTGGGACTAGAGGGCTTTCAGCCACAAAACCTGGCTTTTTTTTTTTTTTTTTTAATAGAACCTGTTGGTTTTTTTTTGGGGGGGGGGTTGTTTTTGTTTTTTTCTTTCTTTTTTTAATAGAACCCAGGGCCACCAGCTCAGGGAGGGTACCACCCACAATGGACTAGGCCTTCACACATCAATCACTAATCAAGAAAATGACCTACAAGCTTGCTTACAGACCAATCTTATGCAAGCATTTTCTTTCTTTTTTGTTTTGTTTTGTTTTTCAAGACAGGGTTTCTCTGTGTAGCTTTGGAACTTGTCCTGGATCTCACTCTGTAGACCAGGCTGGTCTTGAACAATCAGAGATCCGCCTGCCTCCCGAGTGCTGGGATTAAAGGCGTGCGCCATGACTGCCTGGCGTTTTTCTTTATTTTATTTTATTTTTTTTGGTTTTTCAATACAGGGTTTCTCTGTGTAGCCTTGGCTGTCCTGGAACTCACTCTGTAGACCAGGCTGGCCTCGAACTCACAGAAATCTACTTGCCTCTGCCTCCTGAGTGCTGGGATTAAAAGCATGCACCAACCACAGCACTGCTGAGGCATTTTTTTGACTGAGGTTCCCTCCTCTCAAATGACTTTTGCTTGTGTCAAGTTAACATAAAACTATCCAGCAAAGCAGCTCTGGCAGTTACTCCATATTTCCTTTAGAGTCACTAGACTTTTAGCTTTTCTCTTAGTTCTATGGCTGTATCAAATTAACTCTGTGCTGCAACACAGAAGACTAAACTTTTTCCAGACTTCTAACTGTACTCTCGCCATATGTTGAAAACCTATCCTTTCTCCACTGAATAACCTTGGGACATTTGTCAGGACCCCCACCCCACCCCCCAAAAAAAGTGTGTCAGGCTGTTAAAACCACAGCATGCAGACGTCTATGTATTTCAGGGAAGCCAGGTCTAGATAGTGGAGACCCTGTCTAAAAACTAAAGAAATAAGAAAAACTTGAGTTCATGTGTGTAGATCCATTTCTGACTCTTTCATCAGGTTCTATTTCCTGATGTTTATAACTATTTACCACTTTCTCTGGGTAACTGTAGATTTCAGGTGAGTCTTGAAATCAGGTATTACTGAGTCATCCAAACTTGTTGCTCATTATAAAGAGTGCATTGGCTATTCCAGGTCTTTTATATTTCCATAGGCAATGCAAATCAACAGGCCAATTGAAAAACAAAAACAAATAACTGCCTATTGGATTTATATATCAGGACTGCACTGAGCCTACAGATGAAATCAGAGAACTGAGTCTTCTACTCCACAAACATGGTATTTATTTAATTTATTTAGCTCTCTAATTTTTTTTTTTGTTTTGTTTTGTTTTTGTTTTTCAAGACAGGGTTTCTCTGTGTAACTTTGGCTATTCTGGAACTCGATCTGTAGACCAGGCTGGCCTCTAACTCAGAGATGTGCCTGCTTCTGCCTCCCGAGTGCTGGGATTAAAGGTGTGTGCCACCATCGCCTGGTGACTTTATGACTTTTATTAATTTCTATTCCTTACAGCTTTCCCAGTCTTTATGCGTTTGTGTTGTTGTTGTTGTTGTTTTTCCTTTTCTTCCCTTATGCCATCCTGAGGCTCTAACAGAAGACTGAGTGGAAAAGCGATGAGAACTGACAAACTTTATCACTAGTCTTGGTTGGAAATGATCAGAGATGTGGGTATAGTTTGCTTTCTGTTGCTGTGATAGAATGCTGACCAAACATGTTCGTTTGGCTTTCTATTTTCAAGTCCATCATCAGGGGAAGTCAAGGCAGGAACTCGAGGCTTTAGAATCCTGGAGGCTGGAATTGAAGCAGAAACCATGGAGGAATGCAGTTTTCTGGCTTGCTTGCTCTGGCTTGCTCAGAATACCTTTCTTGCAGCCCAGGGTAACCTGCCTAGGGATAATGGCGCTTTACATATGATAGGCACGTCTATGTCAATCAGCAATCAAGAAAGTGCAGTACGGACAGGCATACAGACCAGACTGATGGAGATCATTCTCAGTTGATGTTACCTCATCTTAAAGTCCAGGTTTCTGTCAAGTTGACATAAACTATGACAGATGCTTCCTGTCAGATTAATGACATTTTCTTTTATATCTGGTTTTTAAGATTTTTTTTTCTTTCTTTCTTTAGCATGAATGGATGTTGAATTTTTTTCAACTGGGTCCTTTGGAAGAGAAGCCAGTGTTCTTAACCACTGAGCCATCCCTCCAGCCCCAATTTTTTTTTCAACTGTCTTTTCCCCCATCTATTGAGCTGATCATATTTTAACATTGCAAATTTTATTGACTTTATTTTGTTTTGTTTGAGACAGGGTCCTCTGTAGCCTCAGATGGCCTGGAACTCACTCTGTAGCCTAGGATGACCTTGGAACTGTGCCTCCTCCTTCTGCCCCTAGGATGCTGGCTGGGGTCACAGGTTTGTACCAACATGCTTATCTCATTGACTGACTTGTGAAAGTTAAACAGGCCTGGAATCCCTGGGATAAGTCTCTTTTGGGGATGACGTATCATCTTTTCTATATACTTCTGCATTCAGTTTGCTATATTTTCATATAATTGGTTGTTTTTTTATTTGTCTATGTTCATAAAGGATATTGGTCTGCAATTTTCTTGTAAGGCTTTTTGTGCTAGGATCCTAAGAGTCTGTGCAACATTTCTCCCTTTAAATATTAACAGAATTCACCAAAAAGACCATTTGGGCTGGAAGTCATATTTGTCATATTTGTTTGGATTCAATTTCTTTATTACATATTCAGATTTTTTTTTAAACTTCATCTTGAATCAGTTTTGGTAAATTTTGATTTTTTTTTCAAATGCTAAAATAATTCAGCGAGAATCTACTAGCCTGGAGCAACTCGAAGGCCCAGAGAAGGGACCTTAGAAACAGAAAAAGAGACTAGCTCAGACAAACACAGGGAGCCAATGGGTGTTCTTGAACTGCTCACAGGAAAGCCCAGGTAAGACAACTGCCCAGACTTCAACCAATCAAATAACTCTGCTTCCCTTGTGGATTCAACTACTGTTGCTAGAGGGCTTCTCTCCAGGTTCCCCAAGCCCCACAGTCCTACAATCCACTTATAAAATAATCACTCAGATGCTTATATTACTTATAAACTGTATGGCCGTGGCAGGCTTCTTGCTAACTGTTCTTTTATCTTAAATTAACCCATTTTTATAAATCTATACCTTGCCACGTGGCTGGTGGCTTACCGGCATCTTTACATGCTGCTTGTCCTGGCGGTGGCTGCAGTGTCTCTCCCTCCTTCTTCCTGTTTCCCCAATTCTCCTCTCTCCTTGTCCCGCCTATACTTCCTGTCTGGTCACTGGCCATCAGTGTTTTATTTATATAGAATGATATCCACAGCCAACTACAAACAAAACAAAAGCACTCTTCCACCAACGCCCTCCAGCCAAACTCTGAGCTGCTTTGAGACTGTAGGTGCTCAAATAAGCAACTTAAAAATGTGGCACGTCCTAAGTATCTTCCAACACAACACATCTGACCACGTCTTCCAAATGCTAAAGTATTGGCCTAAGCTGTTCATGTCATTCTTTAATTCTTTTAAAAACCTTTTAAAAAATTCATCCCTGCTAGGCATTTGCCAATTCACCCTGGAGGCCTTCTGCCCCCACTCCAGTGCACACCGAGGCCTTCTGCCCCCACTCCAGTGCACACCGAGGCCTTCTGCCCCCACTCCAGTGCACACCGAGGCCTTCTGCCCCCACTCCAGTGCACCCTGGAGGCCTTCTGCCCCCACTCCAGTGCACCCTGGAGGCCTTCTGCCCCCACTGCAGTGCACACCGAGGCCGTCTGCCCCACTCCAGTGCACACTGAGGCCTTCTGCCCCCACTCCAGTGCACACTGAGGCCTTCTGCCCCCACTCCAGTGCACCCTGGAGGCCTTCTGCCCCCACTCCAGTGCACCCTGGAGACCTTCTGCCCCCACTCCAGTGCACCCTGGAGGCCTTCTGCCCCCACTCCAGTGCACACCAAGGCCTTCTGCCCCACTCCAGTGCCAGCCATGCACCTCCGAGGCACTGTTTTCATCCTGCTGCCATTCCTTCTGCTTCTCCAGTCTGGTGTCAAGGGTTGCTGAACTTTTCATTTCTCTTCAAACATTTTATCTACGGTTATAGGTCCCTCCTTCCATCCCGTTTCATTTCCCACGTCTCAGCTTGAAACTTCTGCTTATTCACTGTAACCATTTTTTTTTTTTTGAGTTTACAAATATATTTCTAATAATATCTTTAAACTTTAAGCCAGGCTTGGTGGGGCAGGCCTGTACTTTGGCCTACCTG